AGGGAGACCTGGGCGGAGGGTGGACAGCAGGGCTGGGTGCCACCAGGCCCGGAAGGGCCCAGCAGGGCAGCTGTGGAGGCCGCGGCTGCCTCACCGTGAGCAGTTCCCCGAGCAGGACAGGTTGGGAGCTGAGGGCGGCTGGGAAGCAGTCTTGTCAGTGACCGAGCCACCTACTTCTCGACACTGGCAGGTGAGAAGAGCAGAGTCCAAGTATATCTAAATAAGGTCCTGCCTGTTGTTTCGTGTGTACGCAGGACATGTAGGCATATACATGCATAGGATTAAGTGCAAAAATCCACACCAGGGTGTTAACTGAGCATGTTTGCATGATGAAAACAACAGGTGCTTTGGTTTTATTTTTTTTTAGAAGTGTGAGACCTGTGTTACCCATTTTTCTGGCGGTGGGCTTGAATGATCTGTCTCCACATTTAAATAGTGGGAGAAAAAGTTGTTTACTGGAAAGGATGGGTGTCACAGCAGGAAGGGGTGGGTGAGGGAAGCCATTCTTTTGTGGGTTGGGGCCTTTCTGGGGAGAGCAGGGAAAGCAGGGAAGGGTGGAGATGATAGGGAGGTGAGTCCCAGAAGGGGTGAAGGTTGGCTTCTGAAAAAAGAGGGTTCTTAGCTTTCCTCCAGGGGCCGGGGAGGCTCAGGGGGTTACAAAGGCAGAGGAGAGGCTGGCAGGCTGGACAGTGTCCAGAATGGGCCTCCGATTCCTTGATGCAGAAGTGGGGCTGCCTGCCACCTGGGGTGGTGGCAGGCTCCCATGGCAGAGGCCCCGTGGCCCTGTCTGGAGTGTGAGGCCTGCCCTGGGCAGGCAGCTTGCAGGGGCCCAGCTGCTGGGTGCTGAAGGAGAAACAGGCTCTCCAGAGACTGATGCAGGTGGGTGAAGGTAGGAGATGGCTCTGTGCAGGCAGAAAGGGCAGAGGTGATGCTGGCCCTGGGAGACAGTAGGCAGGGAGCTTCAGGCCAGGGAGCTCTGTGGGGCAGGAGCCTCAGGGACACGCCCACTGCTGTGAGCTTTCTGTCCCCACCAGGCCCAAGGGAGCCTCGGTCCCTTCCTGTTGGGCAGGTGGCCTGCTGGATTGTAGCGGTGGTCCTGATGTCCCCCCACCCCAGCCCCTTGCTGGGCCCTCTTCCCGCCAGGCCTGTTCGCCCTGGCGCCTCAGCAGCAGGGTCCCTGGCAGCTGAGATCTGGCTGGAATGAGAAAGGCCTGGCTGAACCCCCCAGCAGGGCTGGCCGAGGTCCTTGGGGAAGGGGGGTGATGTGCTCTCATCCCACGCACCCCTCCCATCTACCCTGTGTTTAGGCCCCAGCTGCTGCTACTCCACACCATGTCCTTTAGCCCTTTACATCAAAATTCTACTTTGAACTTGAAACTGGAGTCAGTTCCCTCACACCTCGCGTCTGGAGACAGCATCAGCTGCTTGGGTGAGGCTTAAGTCTGCCATTGCCCTTTGCCTTATTGGCTGTTTGCTGAGTCTTGACTGCTCTGGCAGGGTCTGGCAGAGTCCAGACCCAGACCTGCCGTTAGGGAGCACCTGCCTAGCCCCGTGGCCCCGGGAACGCCCCCATCCATAGCCCTGACCACACATGGCAGCTCTGGGAGGAAGCTGGGCCGGTGGAGTGTCAGTGCCCACCAGACCCCAGCTATTCCTGGTCTAGCCAGTTGGTGTTCCAGGGGGAAACTGAGGCCCAGATACCAGAAGGGGCTGGCCAATGTGTTACTGATGGTTTCCGAGAGGAAAGGGGACCCCACTGGGGTTTCTCCTTGCCTCCTCGACCTCAGGCAGCTGAGAGCGTCCTGTGTGAGGGGGGATTTGATGAGGGCTTGTCTCTGAAGCTTGGGTAGCTCAGGGCACCAGAGAGGGGAGATAGCAAATGCCACAGAGTGGTCGCCCCGGCTTGGAACCTGGATTTTAGCAGCTGTTGAAACAGCTGGCTCCTGGGCCTGTGATCCTGGGGAGGGGCATGCTGGGGATAAAAGGCTGTCACCTGAGGGGCTGCCTGGGTAGGGACAGCTGGCCGGGGGACAGCTGAGTGTACAGCTTCTTGCCAAGAATAGCCCCTGGGTCCCCCGACCTGGGCCCTCCCTTTGTGCTCTGAGCATAGGTAGTGACAGGCCCTGACCTGGGCCACAGACGGTCAATTCAGCTAGCAGACATCTCGGAGCCTCTGGCACAGGAATGCCTGGGAGATACTGGAAAAGAGGGTGCAACCTCAGGCCCGCCGGGTAATTATGGCAACCTCTGTTTCCAGATCTTCAAAATAAGAATGTGACGTGTAGAAGCACCCAGTTTGCTGGGGCATGTGGTCAGCACATTCTGAGTGGCAGCTGCTGTTTTATTATGACAACATGGGCACCTTGCTGTTTGTTGGCGGGCCCAGAGGCTCCCTGGGCTTTTATACCTAATGAGGTGCCCAGGGGTGGGGAGCTGTCCAGTTTCTAGCTGCCCACCCATCATGGCTGCTTTTCGAAGCAACTTCCCCTGAGGAAGCCTGGCCAGTGAGAGGAACCCAGAGGGTTCCTCGGCCCCACCAGTGATGCTCCTGATAATACAGGCATCTTCCATCAGGACTTCAGAGCCCCTCCGGGTGGGGAGATGAGCAGGACAAGTCTGTGTGAGCCGACCACCCTCGCCAAGCCCCCTCAGGGCTTTACTCAGGTAGAGTAAAGATAGAATACTCTACCTTTACTCAGGTAGAGCCACTTGCCCAGCATTGCCAGAACCTGCCCAAAGCCCTACCCGGCCTGGGCCTACTGTGTTTTTAAAGCTTTCCGAATCACTCAGTTTGAGTATATGTCATCCTGCTCATAATGACAGCAGCAGCCAACATTCACTGTGCAGTGTGTGGACACTGCCCTGGGGGTTATGTCCATTGCGGCCAGTGGCTCCCCGCACAGAGGTGCAGGTGAGGAGACATGGGCGGGGCTGAGGGCAGCTGGGCTGGACAGCAGATCTGTGAGGCTCCAGCCACTGTGGCTTCCACCTCATGGGATCTTGGTGGTAGAAGAGAAAATCTGGTGGACCCCCAACCAAGGTCCCTCCTAGGATTCTCCTCTAAACAATAAACTGGAGAGGATGTCCTTATGCAGGAGGAGTAAGAGACCAGATTGTTTCCTGCTTGTAGGGAAGTACATAATAGGCCAGATTCCAGGAAATGGTTGTTCCAGGGAGTCCAGGATTCAGGGTGATTGTGGTTTGGGCTTGGCACGGCGGGTGCTTAGTGCATGTTTGTTGAAATGCACTGGCCTTTGGTCAGAGCCTGCCCCTGCTGCCTGCTGCATGGGGCTTAGATGAAGCCTCAGTTTCTTCATCTGTAAATTAATAGTGTAATTTTGAGAGTCAGCCTCTTAGCAGAGCATCGTTTGATGGATGTGAGCCTGTGGCTCTTAATACAGTTCACCATGCAGACATTTTTGACCACCCAGGATGGGGAGCCCCTGACTCTTGGTCAGAGCTCCTCATCCTGGTTGTCCAGGCTCGGGTGGCCGGTTGGGTGTGTGTTTTCCCACCAGTACTGCCAGTGGCCCAGGGGAGACCTGCATGCTTGTCCTTGCATGTTGGGCCCCTGCCTTGGGGTTGTGTGGCTTCCCCTGCCCCAGGAAGTTTGACTGTTTGGTTGGCTCCCAGCCCTGGAGAGCCACCTGTCACCTTGCCCACCCTTGTTTCACCAGCCTGTGATCTCTGGAGTTCAGGTGGAAAAGGATGAGGCCTCTCTGCCTAGTGTTAGGTCTGGAGGAAGGGGAGGAGGGCAACAGACCTTGAGGTGCATACAGGTGGGCATCCTGAGCGCCTGGCGGCACAGGTCTGCCTGGGGCCCAGGAGCCAAAAAAGGGAACGCAGGAGCGTTATCTTTCCTGAGTGACCTGCAGCAGCTTCCTGCCCTCCCTTTCTTTTTGCGACTGTGCAGTGCACTAGAGCCCACATCTGGAAGGCGGCCTTTCCTAAGGCTGGAGGACCAGTGTGCTGTGTGGCCTTGGGCAAGGCCCCTCCCTGCCTCTCTGAGCCTCAGGGTCATCCTTCCTGTTAGAAGGCGTGCGGTCAGGAGGACCCAGGGAGCTCAGTCCTGGGAGTATCTGAGTTTTTGCTCACTCCCCTTCTCCTACCTACTTTTGCTAGCTTGTCATCCCTGAGGCATCAGGTCACAGCTTGGGGAGAAGAGGCAGGAAGAGAGGTTCAGGAGTGGAGTAAGGGGCTCCTTCTTGCCCAAGATGTCTGTGACTGGCCCAGTATCAGGGAATAGGCTGGGAGCCTTTTGTTAGACCCAGGAGGAAGGGGACACAGAGACCACTCATAAGATCTGAGTCCCACTCAAGACCGTGGATGGCTTCTGGTTAACAGCTGAGGGCCTGAACCACCAGGATAAAGAAAAGGCAGCTTATATCCCTTGGGAATGGTTTGTCCCTGGCCCTCAATTTTTTTTTTTTT